TGTCTGCAGCTTGGGAGGCAGCTTGAGGTCCAACATACGGAGATTGCCGGGTCCAGCATGAGTGCTGCGGCTGCTGCTGCTGGGAAGAAAGAGGACCACCGGGCGCTGGTACGGTGTTCGCATACAATTCTCTCGTTGCGAGAGGTGCTTGACAACACGGCGCCCGGAGAGGAAGGTTACGGTCTGGGAAAGGTTGATGCGATTCGAACTCTCCGAGAGTCTGTAATCACACCGGTTGAGAGATCTGTCAAGGAGACGGCAGAGAAGATTATCCGCGACTTTGCGATACCCAACTCGGCTACCTTTGCGCAGGGCGAGGAAGTCAAGGCGAGAACAGTATCTGCCATGGTCACGCTCTTCCTGCTCTCCCCGTCGCCAACACAAAAGACGGAACGATGGACGCCGCAGCTACTCCTGCAGAGCCTGGAGACATACTTCCGATCGGCGCTCCAGTCGTCCATCGCCTCACTTTCCCGGTCGCTAGGCCAACTTCCCTCCCTCGAGCGCACCCTCGCCGAGATTTCGGCGCGATGCCAGAACATCGTCGCCCTTGAGCTCGTACTAGAGTCTACGAAGCTACCAGCGCATCCGCTTGTGTCGGCGCCGCAGAAACAGACGAATATGCTGCAGCCTCTACTGGCGTACCTCGAGACGGGCAGTTTGCCGAGCTACTTCTGGCGGACGATGGCTGGGAACTTGGGCACAAGGGTACAAGAGATCGTCAACCGGGGTGGGGTGTCTGCACGTACACTGCGGTCCAATAGAGCAAGCGTTGGGGATGCTGTGAGGGAGTGTGTTGTGAGGGGGTGCCAGATGCCGAGTGCGCTCAAGGGCAAGGGAAGAGGGGAAGGCAATTGGGATCGAGAGGTCGCTGTCATGGTAGGCAGCGTTGTCAATAACCTCGGTCGCTAGTCTGTGTTGGAGTCTATACGGTATTGAGTCAAAGCCACCGATAAAGGCTAAGACTGAGAAGCCCAGCGCTTCCAATAGAAGCCGAGATGCAATTTCAAAACGAGAATCACAAACACCACACGAAGTCTGTACTTTTCAGCTGTCTTACCACACCCGTCCTCAGCTCTTCCATTAGGATTGTATACTCCATACATTACCTTCCTAGCCTGGGCTTTTATTCAACAAGCCAAAGTCATCCATTAGTGGTGGTAGAGTACCTAAGGTAGCTTGACATCAGAATGTCAAATATCATTAAACCAGATATAACCGTTGCACGAGGAGATCGTAAATAAGAGTGCCTTGATGGCACGGCAATGTATATAACCACAATCAGGATTAAGATATACCCAAGTCAAGGTACCTAAGTAGCAGAGCGAGAAAATCGAAAATAGAAACGTTTGACAGTTTTTCATTGGTCAAATAAGCGCGACTTCTATCACTGAAGCACGCCCCGGGCGTACTTTCGTTATTGAAACTCGCTCAGTCTCCATACCTACTGTATTTCTTGTTAAGCCGCACCATGTACATTCCCGATACGACTTGCATTTACAAGCGGTTTTTCTTGATTGCCCCGATACCAGATAGCGCACCTAGAGTGGTACCAGCAGGCCTGCTGCCGTCCTCATCACTGCCTTCCCTTTCGTCGCCTGAAGTGCTGGTCTTGCCACGTCGGCCGCCTAGTCATCGATTTCCGGTACGACCGAGTACAACTCGACGTCTACTAGCCTATTGATGGTTACAATGCGCTGTACAAGATGCAGGCCTGGCCCGTTGCAGGAGATGCGGATACCCTCGGTCTCGCACACACGATGGCGGCATTGTTTGTCAGGCAATCTCGGCAAGACTACCTTACTTTTCATAGTCTGGAGCAAAAAGACGCAGCAGGGAGTTGATCCTGTATCCATAAGGGCAGCTCGATTGTCTATATGAAGCAATCTGACCATTTATTCAGGTGTAGATAGGCACTGATGAAGCCTACTCTAGATATTTGAGGCATGACGTTCGTCATTCTGTATGTACTACTGTATGGGCAGTATAAGGTACTAATGCAGGGCTGCAAGGTTCAGGTTGGTTGCAACCCACATCGCTTCGGCGTGCATGATGGCTGTCATGCGGGGGTTAATTCCTTCACAAGTCGCCTGCCTCCTCCCTCTCCCTCCCTTTCTCCGTCTGTCTCTTTTTCTCCCTCCCTTCCTCGATCAACCATCAGTGCATTACCCAAAGACCCCTTGAAGGACAAATATCTGAACAAATGGCTCTGGGCCGCAGAGGCATAATTTCAGGCAGACTGATGCGCATTGGAAATACCGTGCATTTAGTTCACCAAGTATCTCTGCACATTGATCTCTTCGTCTGAAAGGCCGGTGTGAATGTCCGGGATGGTGTGGTGGTAGATACAGTACCATGTGCATTGATTGGGCAGTCTCCTTTTATTCGGGACATTTGAGAATCTGTGTGAAGATTACACTGCATCCTTCCAATTTATGCTACTCAAGCAAAAAGCCATTACACATAGCTACCAGCGAATTCAATTTCCACAAAACATCAATCCAGATTTTTGAAGCTTCTGAGGTCTATTTTGCCATGATTCTCCAGAGTCAATAGAATAATTCAGGCATTATGTCCTACAAATTCCAATGGACACAGAGCAATGTAATCTTCACACGGCGCGGGAGGGTATATTGAAAAGTCAAAGACAAGGTTATGGGGAGGATGGCGAGACACTAGAGCGCAGATGCGCACCCCTGGAACCAGGGCTGTGGCAGGGGTGATACGTCAGCGAATGAGAATGAAACGTTCGAGAGAAGGATTTGCTAAGAAAGGGCCATTATCATCGGGCGGGGCAGAGTGCATATGCACACCCCTGCAGCCAGGACTGACGAGGCGGTTTCGGGGTCGACGAAGTTCGCCTTATTCTGATTTGAACCATACAGTTCTGAACTGGTTTAGACGGAATGGTTCGTTGATTTGGCCGATGTTCAACGACTTCCGTGTCCGTGTCCGTGTCCGTACGTGCATAATGACCGGGCTCAAGGTGGAATTATATCTTGAATGATGCGCCTAGCCGCGCCTTTGCCAGAAACACGTTCCTTGCTTCTAACAGAGTAGAATCATATAAAATAAGCATTTCCCTCAATCTCTACAATTCGACACCTATTTATTTACACGCAATACGCTCTTTTTTCGTTGAGCTCAGGTTGGCTTTGTAAGACCTCCCGCAGCTTTCGTCCGGGAGCTGTTGGTATGAAGCTTCGCTCTCCTTCAAGATTCTACGCGCGGTAAGAATTACATATCGACTCAAAGTTCCCTTGGCTGACCTTATGGGCGCTCGTTCAGATTCACGCGGCTTCAGCAAGCGCAATCCTCGGCCATTGCATCGCTGTCAACATCGCCATCTCGAACGAGAAACATTTCGAAATCACTGCGAAGGATTCCGATGCCGAGAATGGACCCACATCCGGTATCCACTACCACGTCCGATCCGAAGCATCACCTGACTTGAGTGATGGCGAACCATCTCAAGAGAGACGAGGCAGCCATTCTGGCGGACATCGCGATCTATCGTTGCCTCAAATCAGGCAAAGAAACAAGGCAGCCCAACCCCGCACGAGGCGTCCACGCTAATAAACGAGGCGCGTTGGAACGCCTTTAGCAATGTTCACGCAGAACCAACCAAGTCAATCATGTGGCTCGTATGAGCGTATCGATTGGGCCTCATCGACTCTCACCATATGCAGCATCGCCCTGTTTTCACACCGACAAGTCACAATATCCTGTCTGGAGTCTTGGCCCAGATAACGAGGCATCAAATCAACCGTTTTTCCACCTTTCCGGATAAACCAGACCGACAAAGATTGGAATTTCCCGAGTTCATCCGTGTCAGATAACGGCTTCCGATTTTGGTCTCGAATTGAAGGGGCGTATCCGTAATGGCCTCGATATTGTCAAGTCCCAGCACACAGTACAGTATACGATATTTTCTTGCTGTTAAGCTTCTTTCCGACGATTCTGGATAAAATGATCAAAGCTCATAGCGCCTCAGGGACGAGTGGCTAGTTACTGTGGCATCAAGTGATGTTCAATCTTCGAGAATCTGGACTTGATAGGGACCGAAAGTTCGGAACCAAGTCGATCCCGTCCGATCCACCTGCAACGCCGGCACGTCCGAGTCCACGTCCGAGCCCGGACGTCACCCGACCCCGGAGTGATCGGGACATGAAGTCACCTCGTGTCCGGAAGATCGGACCTAATCATCCAGATACTTCCTCCGGCGTGCTACCATTTGTCAACATCATATTGTGTCATGTCAAGACTCTTCTCATTCATAATCTGCGTCATCCCATCGCTGAGCAAGACTTGATGTCTCAGCACCTTCGGTAGGGTATCCTTGCCTGTTTCGTCAACTCTACCAACTGCCAAGGCGACGATAGCGTCAGGGTCATCAACATAGTGCCTGGAGCTCGGTCATGGCGATTCCTGTTATTTGACTATGCTCTACTTGTCAAAGACACTGGTTGCGTTGGCACATCGTAAGGTCCATTCTCGAAATGCTTTTATCGAGGTTAACCCCACGGGGTCGACAATGTCCAATCCGCACTAGCAGGGGACAACCCCTACCATAGCTATCTACACCGACATGAGAAGAAAATAGAGAAATGCACATCTCTGCTTGGATTCGAGTTGCCTTACTTGGTGGCCGATGGGTATTGGCGGGTGATTCAATGACCAAACTCAACATTTGGAGTTTTCCAATATGAATCCAGGTATTGACAGAAGAAAGCAAAGAACATAGGGGTTTCCACTTCGCAGCCTGGTTCGCCAGGCACATGGTCTTAAATTGACCGAATCGCCGCTCAAACATTGATACAGTGACCATGCACAATAAATCAAAACCATTCAGCTTCTCAACGTTCTCAGCAGAGTGAAATATTCATAGGGAGCTCCATTACGCCATAATTTACGAATAATATACTCCTGTCCCACCTGGGTGGTCATCGAAGCCGCCTTGACTTCAAGGTTCAACATGAACTCTACAGATTCAATTCGATATGGGTATTGTAACCAGCGGTCCTATGTCAGTGACGGCACAGTAACTGGCAAAGTGCTAACGCAATGCCTCTAGGAGTACCTCGGGAAAGTCACCACACACGCATTCGACCACGGAATCGAACGGCGCTCTATCCGAACATCGAATCTCCGCGTTCAGCCAGTCTGCTGGCCACAGCAACATGCACCACGTTCAAAACAAGGGCACCGACGCTACAGCCAGCAAAGCCTACCACGAGACCAGGATGGCAGGTGTTTTGGCCGACTTCGAGAAGCAATTCGGCTCCCACCCGCCGAGGCATCCATGAGCGAAGGAACGAAAGCGCACCGACGGCGCTATCAATCTCGGGGGAGGAAAGGAAAGACGATGAGAGGATAGAGAGACCAGCAACTCGGCTTCAGAGAGGTTACGGCAGCCGCTGTTGCGTCACGCAGAGACGCTATAAGGGGCAGCAACCTGTCCTCGAGGCCTTGCCTGCAGCCTGTTCAAAAAATGAATGTGTCGCTATTGCCTTCGACCCTTGTAGATGTAAAACAGTGTCCATAGATCTAGCGAAAGCCCCGTCTCTCCATCACCTCACCTTCGCAGGTCTGCGGGCCCTCCCGCACGATTGATACCTTACGTATTGCTCCTAGCCTCCAGGCGCTCTTCCTTGCCCAAAAGGTCGTCTTTGACGTTCAGTTAAGACTGGATTGGATCTCTTTTGCCAAACGTAGAGCATGATGGTAGTCGCGCTACATATTACTCGAAGTCAAGCCACTTCCGTGAGTCAGGTCGTCTCTTGTTGGGATGAGATCACAGTGATAAGCTGCCGCAGATAGGCTTGGCATCTACCAATACTTTGCTGACATGAGCCGGTGGTGCTGGAGACCACCGTTTGTGTTTAACACACGGTGCACCCGCGGTGCAGAATCCAGTGTGTCAAAGGTGTTGGTATAAGGCAGTCATGGCTCAAAGGCACTTAAGCAATGACAACAACTGATTTCAGAGATATGAAATTCTGCAATATATACACTTCAATTTCCGCCTAATTCACCGAATGTGGTTGCGGCCCCAATTGCTTCAAGAGGTTTCTTCAAATTTTATTTTCAACGCTCACCCTTCCAAATCCTGTTTCCCTCTCATACTAGCGGGATCAATGCATTTTCGAGAATCCTACATTGTATACATCTAGTGAATGAGCCTCTTAGTACCCATTCGTTGGGAAACGTAGCGAGACTCGACGTTCGTTGATGCGAAGGAATGTGGAGTGACTAGAAGAATCATTCCAAACTCAAGACGCACCAGTACCCACAGAAGCATAAAGTGGGCTCAACATTTGTTAATAGTCATAGTCAGCTCGATTTCAATCAATTTGTCAATCACCTTTCCTTGTAACAACGATGCGAGTGTCGGAGGTCTTTTTTGCGCCAAGCGCTTAGTGGCTATTATTCTTGTCTGAAATACGTAATGACCTAAAGCCTGACGAACAGAAACCTGTAAGTTGGCAAAAGCGCACGCGTTCCCATTCAGAGTCGTGAGACCGCCCTCGCACGTCCTAAGGCGCGAACTCTAAAGCGATGCTACGCCGCTAAATGCTACCATTCCTCGGACTTGATGGTCAGAACCTTATTTCGTCTCGACGTCGAAGAACCATCAATCTCATACACGATAGAACTATACCCAGACGTAACCTCAATTTACGGACATCTCTACAAAGATTCGAGTCATGTTTTGCATCTCATGTGGACCATGATGAATCAACATCACGAACCTACTTTGCGGGGGCTCCATAACTCTAGACCGCTACCCCACGCAGTCCGAGCTTTAGGCCTTTAGAGTCCGAACCAAGACACGCGCAGCTCAAATCCCGGCGCCGAAAAGGTTGTCGCAATTTTGAGCTTCGCCGACCGAGGCATGATATCACTTCGGGCACCAAAGCTATGAACTCCAACCATGATCAGTCAAGCAAACAACATTTGGTGGGGCATATGCTTTTCCTGTAGATGAAGTTTGTCCAGGTTGTCGTCGGTCGATACAACACAAACACAAGGCCAACGATTGTTCCTCCCTTGGCATTCATGTGTCTCCATCAGTACTTCAACCTGTAGAATCGCGAAAACGAGAACGAAAGCATATTTGAATGGTATAACAATGGGGTAGAGACGGACTTCTTATTGCCCACGATCTCCGCGCCGGGTAATCGCAGTAGCGAGTGCTACGATTCGTCAGTTCGGAAACTTCAGAGAGCTGGGGTTTTAGTGGAAGCCAGTGCGGATCATGGTCGATAACGGGGATTAAACCCACCTCTTCCTTGCACGACTAGTGCCAATCCTTGCCGCCATTTTGACAGGCATCGTGAGAGGGATATATATCTCGTGGGGTTCCGGCTCGTTGGAACGATGTACGACGGGCCATCTGAAGTTTTCATCTGTCGATATTGGGCGCTAGACAGACTCCCATCATGGCGCTTCTCTCCTTGCCAGTAGTGCTATTCGCGCTTCCAGCATTCGTGATCTACTACGTCGTCTCAACTTTCCTCGCCCGTCGCCGCATTCTTCTCTTTGCCAAGTCAAACGGCGCGACTTTTCCTAAGCACTTTTCCTCAAAGCTCCCTTTCGGCATCGACAATGTCTGGCGCGCCGTCAAGGTGGTGCGCAGCGGCGGCGACATCCTCGACGATGTCATTGCCCAAAAGTTCAAAAAGTGCGGTGACACCTTCAGCACTACAGGCCTCTTCGGCCCAGCCGAGGTAAATACTATCGACCCCGTCAACATTCAGGCCATCCTTGCGACGAAGTTCCGAGACTTTGAGCTCGGCCCGCGCAGAATCGCGCAATTCAAGCCGCTAGAGGGCAACAACATCTTCACCCACGATGGTCCCCTGTGGGAACATTCAAGATCGCTCTTCCGATCGCAGTTCTCGCGTGAGAACATCAACGACCTCGAAGGTACGGAACGTGCCGTGCAAGCTCTGTTCCGGGCCCTGCCATTTGTTGGCCAGAAGGCGGACAACGGCGCCCTGTCTGTTGATATCATGCCCTTGATCTTCCGCTTCACCCTCGACACGGCAACCGGCTTCCTCTTTGGCGAAACGGTCGATTCACAAACGGCCGCTGCTCTAGGCAAAATGTCGACATCGACAAGTGCGGTGACGGCTATGGCGGCTGACCAGGCAGGAAGTGAAATGTCCTTCGCATCGGCCTTCCACGAGGCGCAAATGTACATCGCTCTGCGCGCCCGGCTGCAGGGGCTGTACTTTTTGGCACCAAGTAGCGTGGGCACTAAGTCCATTGACTACATCCGTCGATACGTCGACCACTACGTCCAGCTGGCTCTCAAGCGCGCGAAGCCGTCGACGGACAAGTTCATCTTGCTGGATACCCTCGTAGAGAAAACGCGGGACCGCGGGGAGCTACGGGACCAGATCCTAGGGATACTTCTGGCGGGTCGGGATACCACGGCATCTCTACTGTCGTGGGTGCTGCTGATGCTTGCGCGGCACCCGGCTGTGTTTGAGAAGCTTCGGGGAGAGGTGGTGGCGGACTTTGGGGAGTACTCTGAGAAACCTGAGGGTATCGACTTTGCGACGCTCAAGTCTTCACAATATCTTCAATTTGTGATGCGGGAGACGTTAAGAGTGTACAATGTCGCGCCGCTTAACAGCCGGTATGCGGTACGGGATACGGTCTTGCCAAGAGGTGGCGGAGCTGATGGGTTATCGCCCATCGTGATCAAGAAGGGCCAGACCGTCACCTTTGTGCCGTATCTTCTGCATCGACGAGCGGATATCTGGGCGGATGCGATGGAGTTCAAGCCGGAGCGATGGGAGGGTGTCCGACTAGATTGGAACTATATTCCATTCAGTGGTGGTCCAAGGATCTGCTTGGGACGTAAGTCATCCCATATCCGCTAACAATTAATGCGCTCAGTAGTGGGAGGGGAATGCTAACTTGCCTTAGAACAATTCGCTCTCACAGAGGCTGCATATTTCTTGGTCAGACTCATCCAAAGGTTCAAGAGCATGGAGTGGATTGGACCGCCAGGCGAGCCGAGAAAGGACATCCACTTTACCATGGTCCCCAGAGATGGAGTCAGCGTCAAGCTCCAGTATGCTGAATCATAGAATATGTCAAGTATTGCTCTCATGAAGAATGCGTATTGACAAACACAATATCATCTTTGACCCGCTATATTTGACGAATGTCTTGAGTGACGTGTGGGGGGTTTTTGAGAGCGACTAGCCCTGGAGCCGTCGAAGTGCTTTGCAGGACGGATGTGATACCTCAAGTTTCCTCATGGAAAAGTTGAGATTTTACTGATCCTTCTATATAAATTTCGCAGCACATGCTGATCTTGGTCTGCACCGACGTTCTATTTTTTCATGATCTAGTGGGCCTGGTAAAAAGTTACGTCTATCAGAACACACTTGAAAAGAGCGAGGTGGTCGCCGCTGCATCTTTATAATTTCACTGTTAGGCTCTGATTAACCAGAAGGGTTCTAGCAGTGCTCTGCGGCTGCAGATCCTCAAGGTCGTCAGCCATGAGGCTTGAACTTTAAGACATCAGGGCACCTTTTTGGATGCAGCCTGCGTCTAATAAGAAGCAGTTTCCCACGATCGATGACGCTGAATTTCTCAAAGTCCACCACCCAACCCATCAAAGCAGAATCAGGAAGTTCGAAGACAGGAGCACACCAGCGCCGCACTCACAGTAACCCCAAGACCTCCCCAACTAGAAAGTCAAGCATAACATCGAGCAACCGAGACTATATCACTCAAGATGGATCCCGAAGCGTCGGTATTTCTGATCTGGTTCGGCATTACCACCGCAGTGACTCTGATTCTGATGGCCCTGTGGTATGTGCTCTCTATCACGCGATTGTAAGTGGACCGTGCCGAAGCCTCTACAGAAAGCCCAGTGCTCACCGTTTCCCAGCTCGAGAAGATGCGCTTGCGAATCTGCGAATGAACCCTCATGCACAAGATGTGGCCTCCCTGTGGTGGACGTCGCGCCGACAACGAGCCAAGATGGGGATGGAACTCCACAGACCCCGAGTTCCAGTGCCCCGAGCAAGAAGATGGACGTCTGATACAATCGATGACGAGACGCTTCCTCCAAGAAATTCAATCCGAGAAAGACTAGAAGAAAAAGTTGGCCGAGGAGCAGAGGCTGCCGATTTGTGTTTCTAGAGATCACATGTATCGTAGCCCACCAAAATAGGGTCACTGTGGTATGTCAGATGCCGAAATGTACCGCAAAATGATGCAGGAATACTCTGTGGGGGCTTCTATCGAGTCTCCAATCATGGAAATAGGATTGAAGAGCTTAGGATCCAGCGTGATGTCAGATTACGAATAGCTCGAATCGAATTAGTCAAACAGGAAGGCAAAGTTGAAAGTTGTGGTATCTTCGTGAGTAAACAGTACAGTGGATGCTCTTCGCAGGCGTCATCTGCTTCATACATTAATCGAGCCCGGCAGCGTGTCCTTTCTGCCGCTCATCTCCATAGGCATGCTATCCTGCCGCGATGGGAGGTGATCGAACGCTTCTGACGCGGTCGATTCTTTTCTCTCCCCGGTCGTGCTGAAGCCAATCGCAGGGTTCCCGATGACCAAGCAGAATACTGCAACTACCATGACACTAGGATTGGACGCAAATTAGCCAGACCATCGAGCAGTATCCCGGATGTAGAAAGACTCACGAAGATTCGAGTCCAATGAACAAGGGTTGATCGCGGAACATTGGGCTGAAGTATCCCTCCTTCAGTTCCTCGATACGGTAAGAGCATCGTACCAAGATCAGAATAGTAGAGATGAAGAGAAATGCCAAGAAGATCTTCATGTTTTTCGTCATGCGTTGTCGAGCGTTTGTCCTCATGCAGATAATGAGGTAGTCCGCGAAGAGAGCACAAAAGGCGACTAGGCAGACAACCTGGAAGATCAGCCCGGCTAACGAGACATTGACGCCCCTTTGCACAGCCGCCTTGTCGCTCGCAATGCTGGAGAGAGCACCGCCGGTTGCTTGTAAAATGAGGGATACGATGTCGCATGGGATGAAGACAAAGTAGCATAATCTCGGGTTGAATCTTGAGATCGATCGATCGACGTGGATGATTCTGCGTACCCAAAGTCAGTCAGAGCTCTTCGTGAATGGATGATTGATAGTCGTTGCAGGATGGACTGACACTTTGGATAGCATGACATAGATGGCAGCACAGAAGAAGACTGGACCGACAGTAATGCAGACTGCGACAAGAGGAGATTAGGTCCAGTCAAACCATCGGGTTCTCGGTGGGACTTACTAATCTGCAGAAGAAACCCGCCAAAAGAAAATGGGTTGTCGTTGAGGATTAGTCTTCCAACGTAGCCAACGATCTCGAGTAGACATCCACCAATCATGCTAGCCATGAACCCCCAGTTCTTTGATCGAAGACCCTGGATAGTATGTATGATCATAGCCAGGGCAAAGAGCCCGATGAACGTTCCGTTGACTGGCACCGATGGGCGATAACGTAGAAGACTAGCCTCCAGCGGGCATACCTCGAGTGTACAGTTGGCCTTCGGGCCGAACGACTTGTAGCCGTTCGGAAGATGAGTCGCAGACATGATGCCGATGTGAGAGTTTGAGGGCAAAGGCGCTAGGAATCGAGGGCGGATGCCAGATGAGACAGATTGGATGCTTGGAGAAGACGTTGAGATCTTGGGGCGCGGTAGGTTGTACTTATGCATTGGAGGCATTCCGTGAGCGGTCGAATGAGGAGTTGCCGCTTGCGTCTGTGATCATCCAGCCAAGCGCAGGACGGCCGTAAAAGAAGAAAATGAGACACGTGGAGCCCTCCAAACACACACCCTTGATATTGGATCTAATTCAGGACGTTAGGATCAATCCAGACGGTGGAAGTGCTTCAGACAAGACCTGACAGTCCCTGCAGTCCTTTGATTTCTTAGCGTTTCGCTTCGCATTATACAGAATGGGTTAAGAGGCAATGTTCTTCATCGTGGCATACGGTTGACATCCCGAATGTGGGGTACGCGGGATCGCCCTATCCTGGCCCGGCCGTAAACTATGCCGCGTTCAGCTATGAGAGATCTCAACGCGGGCAAGGGAGGTGGTAGGGAGGCGCCATGCCATGTGTCTTTGCTGATACCAGTCAGACGTTCCGGGCTAAACGGCCAGGCCGATCGACGTCCCGGGGGTCTGGGACCTATACTAGTCCAACTCGCATCTAGCTAGACTCGCAATCGCACTTCGCAAAGCGACGAATGAGCAATGGCCCTTTTGCTGTCAAGGACTCAATAGACCGCAAATCCCATAAGGGAGGGTACCACGATAAGCCGCGGGCTTCGACACAAAGCGGACCTTTCGCCCATGGCACCTGTACCCGTGCCAAGAACTCCGAGAAGTCGGGTAAAGAGCACCAGAACGCGTCATGCTGCGAGCCATGCGTTGCGGGAGTTGACTCAACAGGAAACTGTGCGGCAATGATGTTGGATCTAGAACCCGGGCTCATTGTTAAAAAGAAGAGACTCTCCGCGCGGCACACGGTTCTAACCACGTTGGACATTCTACTTACAAAACCAAGGACATGGAACTGGAGAGATCGTTTGAGGCGGTTTCCGGGTCGGGTTGTCATCTCTTACCAGACCCGAGACAGCCAAGACACCAACGTCTCGGACAGGTATGTTCGACGCTCTTTGTCTGTTACCCTCATTTTGCTGGATTATGAGAGAAACATTGAGCAGGGATGTATCTCAACAAGATGTGAGGACGAGCCAAGTCAACAACAACTATGTTCCTGACGGCTGACCAGTTAATCAGACGGCTCATTCGCACAATGTAGATTTTTAGTCCCCTACATCATCATTCCTGGTATTCTTCAACACCCTAGAAACACCCAATCTCTGCGCCCTGGGGTCCGAAAGGCTCTAATGTGGCGGCTTACCCTTGAGCGGAAAGAGCCTAGATATACAGCCACAGCTGTCTCTAGAAAGTCACCTCTTCCCCTTTCCTCATTACGTTACCTTGACAAGCTGTCATGAGTCTAGGCCTTGTTAGACTACATTTGAACTCAGTAAACACATTGTACCCACGTGGAAAGAGGATATGCTTACTCCTCAGCAAGGGCCGGGCCGCCGGAAATGGTAGGTTCGGCGAGCTGCCTGGCTCTCGAACTTGGCTAAGCATTTTCCCCAATAGATCCCATCAACCAAGCACTTATGCTAGAAGATACATGCTAATAAAGATGGGCAAAGTATCCTCTCTATTTCTTCTGCGATAGTTGACACGGAGACTTGATGAGAACTAAACATTTTTCCATGTAAGACAAAATCAATTTGCGTCTCTTTCGCGGGTGCACACTCGATCAGCGCTCACGAAGAAACAAGCGGATCCATCGCAACGAAAACAGAAGGATCTTGCTTCAATAAATGACCTCATGACAGATTGGCAATGTTACATTCTCTCTGGGGGAGCATCTGAGCTTGATGCGTCCTCGGTGTGAGACTCCAGCGGATTCAAACATGATGGTCCCACTCACGTGTTTAAGCACGTGACCTTTCGAAAATCATCAAAGGAATCAATCTTGACGCGATGACCGCCACAAATGTCACGGGAACACCGCTACTTTCGCGATCCCGATAAGCACCGATCAGAATCCGTCGAATCCATGCTAAGAGTCTGACTTCCGAATTGAGGAGGGATGAATGCCTTTGGAGGGCGATCGCGGTCCTCAGCAGGATGGTTCTTCGCCGGGCTCGACTCGTCATTCCCCGATCTTGGGATCGATGAAGGCAACCTATCAGATCTCCGTTTTTGTGGTACGGATCTAAAATCCGGTTGCAAGGTGTTCCAAGTGCGGAAGTCAGATCCTTCGCGCAGTACAGAGGTACTCTTGGCCCCTGATGTTCTCAACTACGCTGAGCTTGAGGGTGATCTGAAAGATCAAGTACTTGTTTTCAAGTTCAAGGGCAAATTTCACGCCGTCGACCATGTGAGTCTTTCCGCCCCATGAAGACGTGCCTTTGTGATCCGAGTATGACCTAACTTTCATATCAGAAATGCCCACATTCTTCGTATCCGCTTTCACATGGGACACCGTTTGACATTGAAGATTTCGGGATCGTCTTGAGCGCAGGTTTGACATGTCCCAAGCATGGCTGGTCGTTTGATCTGCATTCTGGAATGGCAGACCGCGCGCGATATAAGCTGGGTATCTGGGAGGTTCAGTTGCGTGACACCGCATCAATAGGTGCAATACCGATAGGAGAGGATGTTCCAGGTATAGAAAGTATAGATAAAGAGGTCTGGGTAAGGAGAAAGCAGAGGATAGGGTAATGTTCGGAAGCGCACTAAAGACAACTTATCTTGGCGCATTACTGATTTACGTTCGAGGTCTTCGTCAACAAGGCTCGAATCTGGTTGCATGGCCAACGTCCACATCAATGAAAATGCATGTGACTGATCAAAGCAGATGTCTCCTGCAGAAATTAACGTGCTAAAGCGTCGAATGAGACGCCAGAAGTGAAGCTTTGCACTGCGGACAACCAAGACGCAGATGCGGGGAAGTAGACTTGTGGCGAAGACTGAAGTTTAACCGGAAATCATCATCCTCGCATTTCTAATCTCAACACTACATCAACGAGGGCGAGGCACCAACCTTCTAGCAGACCTTCGCTCGGTCTATGGTTTCCCTGAATACCTTGATACAAACCCTGTTGCGTCGCTGAAATCGAGCTTGACCAGCGATCATCAGTCCTATTTCTCCGTGGGTGACGATGTCATCGAGCGTCAGAGAAACCAAGCCATCAGTGGGTGACCCGCAGAAGTCAGTGAATGAGCTCTTCAGACTTGACAGACGGACTGTATTAAGTGCGGAAACCCATGTTTCCTCAAATACCTGAATTTTCTAACACCGGTAGTCACTGGCGGCGGAGGTTCTATGGGCCTAGAAGTTGCTCGCTCTGTACTGGAGAGTGGCGGCGATGTTATATGCATTGACCGACAAGAGAACCCTCTAGAAGAGCCCTGGAGTAAGGTTACACAGATTCTTAACCGTTGCGGCTCCTGGACCAAGCTGATTGTTAATCCCGTACAGATCGTGTGCTGAACGTGTCCAAGAGTCATGGAACACAAGCATGCTACTATAGGTGCGATACCACGAACGCAGAAAACGTCAAATTTGTCTTCGCGGAGTCCATGAAGAAGTCACGGTTCCCTTTAAGAGGCTTGGTCGCCTGTGCAGGAATTTCAGGTGACGCGCCATCCATCGACTTCCCGATCGACACGGCGAGAAGTATCATAGACGTCAACGTTATTGGAACACTCGTCTGCGCACAAGCTGCAGCCCAGGAGATTCAGAGGCAAGGATCGGCTGGAAGTATTGTCCTCATTGCGAGTATGAGTGCTCACGGGAGCAACAAGGTAAGTCAATGGAATAGCAAAGGCGTACGCAGACTTTAACCGAATTCCAAGGGTGTTGATACCGTGGCATACAATTCCTCAAAATCGGCAGTTGTTCAGATGGCTCGTTCTCTTGCTGCTGAATGGGGCAGCCGCGCAGATATACCACTCATTCGGGTGAACTCGATCTCGCCTGGGTACATCCGTACACGTATGACGGAAGGACCACTCAGCAATCCTGTTATAGAGAGAGAATGGACCAACGGCAATATGTTGATGAGATTGAGTGAGGCGCATGAGTACAGAGGGCCCATCACCTTTCTGCTTAGCGATGCCAGCAGTTTCATGACCGGTTCTGATGTCCGTGTAGATGGGGGCCACACAGCGTGGTAATTGAAGAGCTGCGGAACGAGCTTTAGGTGACAAGTTCAGTTACCGCGATCGAACCAAAGCACTTCATCAGTCAAATTACACAAGGGCAGAAAGCGAAACAACCAATCGGGTAGCTACTTGGACTACGAGCGCTTGCATGGCGCTTGCATGGCGAATCAGGCGGACAGAGATGGCCAGATGGCCAACAACAAGGGGCCGCATTCAGTTTGATCTGTCTTAACAGCAATGATTGGCTCGTTGGGGCTGTGAAATGTATGAATTGCATGCGTATGCAGATTTTGAGCCTGCGCCATTTGTGATGTGACTTGGATTCCGGAGCCTGTTACCGACTGCCTTCGACGTTGGTTTCCCCTCATTCCACATCACCATTTTTCAACGACTTTCCTAGCCATTCCCTTCTCTTTTCTACCATCACTGATCGCTTCGAAGCTGTCAATATGGATCCGTCAGGGATCATCGGCATCATCAGCGTGGTGGCTCAGATCGTCACCACGTGCACGAAACTTGGCCTGAGCTGGCGTGATGCTCCCGAAGACGCCAAAAAATTCAAGAATGAGATGGATGGGCTGTACAAAACACTATCAGAAACTTCAAGCCTTCTGATCCAGAATCCCGACTTTATCGCAGCCTTTGAGGGACAGCACTCTGCAGTGCTGTCTAACCTTATGACACTCTCCAGTCCCGACGATGAAAGCCTCCTCTCTGCTTGTCAAGACGAACTCGTTCGTATTCTTGAGGGGCTGCAGAAGCAGCTTAAGGGTAGCCGCTTCGGCTGGCAACGGTTCAAAGCGATGTTCTCTGGCGAAATGACGCAGTCAGCAATTGAAAACCTCCAGCGCCGGTGCCAATTGATAAACAGCATGATCTCGATCGACAATACGACGCTTGCGGTGAAAACCAACCTCGAAGTCCGGTCTTTGAAAAAGGATCTTGCCGGAAGACATTTAGAAGAAAGGAAGATACAGATTCTGGATAGAATAACGCCAGTCGACTTCACAACGCAGCAGATTGACAACCTCGATAGGAGGCAAGAGGGAACTGGAAAATGGCTTCTTGAATCCCCAGAGTTCGAAGCCTGGGTCCTTGGAGATCGAAGAACACTATTTTGTCCCGGAATGCCTGGTGCTGGGAAGACTATGCTTTCGTCCATCGTCATCGAGCATCTCAAACGCCGGTTTGAGGGAAATTCGACGGTTGGAGTTAGCTTCATGTTTTGCAATTTCCGACGGCACGATGAGCAAACACCCCGTAACTTGCTAGCCAGCGTATTGAAGCAACTCTATTGCACGACGCCAGAAGAGTGCGAAGAGGTAGAGAACACCTACAGGCACGGGATGTCTTCGGCGTCGAAACAAGACATAATGCGTTGTCTTCAAGCCGTGGTACCCCGATTCAGCAGAGTATACGTTGTCATCGACGCCTTGGATGAACTCGACGAAAATCGAAATATGTTTCTCGAAGCTATATGGAGTTTACAGGAAACATCATATGTCAACATTTTTGCGACTTCTAGGCACATACCAGAAATCGAGCGCTACTTCGATGGTTCACCATGCATCGAAATACGGGCTTCCGATGGAGATGTGATGAAGTTCCTAGATGGCCAGATGTCGAAGCTACCCTTAGCTGTGAGAAAGAACGAAGGCCTCCAAGACCAAATCAAGGATGCTATCATTCAAGCCGTTCAAGGAATGTATGCGATTTGGGTCACCTGCCAGTGGAATTGAACTTGACTAATTCCAATCCATAAGGTTTCTGTTAGCACAACTTCATCTAGATTCGCTACAAGGAAAACGCTCAGCCAAAGCCGTCAAAGAGGCACTTCGCAAATTCTCTAGCGGTTCCGAGGCGTACGACGTTGCGTATGAGAATGCCATGGAGCGCATCGAACGACAGCTCGAAGACCAAAGATCTCTCGCAAAGGACACGCTGTCCTGGATATGCTGCGCTCGAAGACCACTCGATACCGTGGAGCTACAACACGCTCTCGCCGTGGAGGAAGGGACGACTAAACTAGATGAAGACAACCTCCCTGAGCTAGAAGATATCATTTCAGTCTGTGCTGGTCTAGTTACGATTGATGAAGAGAGCAAGATTATCCGTTTGGTTCACTACACGACCCAGGAATTCTTCGAGAGGACGAAGGAGCGTTGGATTCCTGAAGCGCAAACGCTCCTTGCGAAATCTTGCGTTGCGTATCTTTCTTATGACAAATTCAGGTTCACCTATGAGGAGCACTTCGAGCGGATGTGGATAAATCTAGAGAAGGAAGAGCAAATTCAGCTATCACAGTCTCGAGAGGATCGACGTTGGCTTAACATCACTGGAGATCCATTGTACGACTACGCCGCTTACAACTGGGGTTATCACGCGAGATACATTAATCACCCAGACCAGGGAATACTCCGCTTTCTTACCGACAGAGCATACAATGATGTGCACTGTTCATCAGCCCGTTCTCTCCTGTTCAATCACAAGCATTTATCCAATTTCGATTCAGTGCCGATGCCTCAATTTGTTCATGGGCTACATCTCGCAGCATATTTCGGTCTTGCTAGAATCTTTGAGCTCTTAGGCGGGACCGATAAAGTCAGCGAACTCCCCTTATACGTGCAGATTTTATGTGCTAATTTAATTGACAGGATAATCTGAACCTCAAGGACAGCTGCGGTTACACGCCATATACATATGCCATCTGGGGGGGCGACGAAAAGTTTCTGGATTATCTCTTCGCACAAAGTGGGCTTGAACCCAACATGGAAGTCAAAGATGGATTATTTGATCTTTTCAGCATCGCTTTGATATGCGAAAATGAAACCGCTGTCCGTCATTTGATAGGGATGTATCAGAGCCATCACGAAAGGAATTGGCTGCTGGTTTTAATTCTTGCCATAAAATGGGGCAACGTTCATATTTTCAAGCTCCTAACAGAAGCAGGCAAGGTTGATATCGATGTTTTGGAGCGGCATTGGGCCAAGCGCCTAGCAGAAGGAAACGAGTCCAAGTTCACTGTCACGGAGAGGCCATTTTCACTTCTACTTCAAGCAGCAGAAGAGGGGCGGGTTGAGATCGTCAAATATCTTGTCGAGACACAAAAGGTTGACATTAAGACACAGAATTCGCTCGGGGGTACCCCCTTTTCCATGGCCATCTGTAGGGGGAACTTGAAAGTAGCACAATATCTGTATGATACGGGTTTGGTCGATCCAAACACAGCGATTGACAAGTGGGGAACGCTACTGCACTATGTTGCAGGTCACATCTTGGTGAAACCGCAGTCAGTACAATGGTTGCTTGACGGGGGAAAAGTTGACGCCAGTCTTTTCATAAAATCGAAGTCCGGGGAAACGCCGTTAGATCTTGCCTTGAGGAAGTGGGGGACGGGAGACCCAATACCCAAAATGATTGCGGATAGAATGACATTTACATCAGGAATAGATTTCCTGGAGGACCTGTAGGCGACGAGGAGTGCAGGGGTCATAGAATATGCCACGGATAGTTGATAGAATCACGTAGCACCATCTTTGTAGAACGCATCACAATTACCTTCCTGCTGACCTATCTTGAATCCGCTCCTGACACAATGTTGAGAGTTGCCACGGTGGAAAGGAGAGGCAACCTCGAAGATGAGGCTTATATCCATGTCGACCTGCTTGTGAGTACATGCCGATGGTCGCAGCATCCCCGATCCCTTCTGTGTCCTCACACAACTTCTTGCGTGGGTTCAAAGGTTGGGAACTTTTGGCGAGCCTATTTCGGGGCATGACAGGGGTCTGTCACGACGTTCGTTTCAGGAGGCATGCGTCTGGACCCGTATTGCAAGATCCTCCGCGCGTCTAAAGGTCGACATATCAAGTACGGCACGTGGAGATGGGTGCCAATGAAATGAAGAGACTGTTAGGACCCAGATCATGACACTATTTGCTCTGGCGGACTCCTCGGATCGGCTGTCGATAACAACACCTTGATGGAATTATGTGAGTGGTTCAATCATCATGGTTCGTGATATTATTGCATATTGATATAGTACATCGTGGACGACAATCTTCTGCCTGGGTATTCAACAAGAAAGGGAAAATAATAATGGTTGGTGAGACAAATGAGACTAGTGACAGCAGTCATCCCATCTATGCCCGAGTACAGCGTGTGTGGTTCGCAAGGTCTGGTTCGGAGGGCCCATCATCCGATCCTTGGTACGATATATCATGGGTTGATCCCAGCTCGAAAAAAATGTCGCCGTATGCTCTCGGTAGTGACCGTATTGGCGTGCCACGATTTTACTTCAGTCCGGGCACTTCTCAACCGCGGTACCCCATCTCGGGTGAGAACCGCCCGTCAGGTCCCCTCTCCGCTCGGGGGAGCTGACCCGGCTGCGGCCGGTAAAAGTTGTCCGGGTTATATGGTCGATAGCCGTTGTTGTTGGTGGTAGGCTGGTATCCGATATTGATAGACTCCCGGTACGGACCCTGTCCAACTTCCTGGTACATGTCGTATGTCGAAGCAGGATACGGCACCCTCGCTGTCGAAACCGCTGTCGGAGGCCGTCGTTGCCCTGTGCTGATTCTCAGTGGCGCGGGTACGACCGGCGGCTCGTTGATGGACTTTTCGTAATAGAAGCTCTCCGCTTGCATGTTTCTAGTGTTTACAACGGGGTCGTTGCTGCTGGGCATGTTGGGAAGAGGCGGAACCCCAGCAGTCGCGTTCGTTGTTGAAGGATTCGGTAGAGGCCTGGCGGAGGATGCGTCCACCCTAGATGCTCTGTCTGTCTTGAATTGCTCCATCATCTGCTCTTCCATCTCCTTGGTGGTACGGTTCGCGATCTTGGTCTGTCTGAAGGTTGTGACCATGGCGCGCTCCATCTCGCGGGTGCTGCGCTTTGGTTGTCTGAGGATGGCGGACTCTCTTGGGAGTATACCGTTACCGCCTGGTGGTGTGTTTTGCGTCATGTTTGTTGCTACGGCGGCGACCTTCTTCTTCCTCTTGTAACGTTTTACGCCGAAGATTACTGCGCCAATGAGCAATCCGATGATGGCTGCGATCCCTGATTAGAATTTTGGGCTAGAAGGCGGGGGTTTACAATGACTTACCGACAACGGCGAAGGAGACTCCGATCGCGAATCCACGGTCTGTGCCATCAGCGGGCGCAGCTGACGCCAATGGCGCGTTGGAAGCCTCGACTTGTGAGCTTGGTGGGAGAAGTTCCGGCTGTGGTGTTCCGGACGCGGCATTTTCAACCGGGGGCGGCGGCAGATTCGTTGAAGGAGTGGTTTCGGCGGCGGGAGGAGGAGGCGGTGACGGTGTTGCAGGCGGCTGACTGGCAAGTGGAGGATTCTGCGGTTGGCGAGCAGGTGGGCTCGACGGTGTCGCGACCGGCGCCGGTTGTTGCGCTGGAGCCTCTTGAGGCGGTGGGTTAGAGGGTGGCGGCGCTCCGGGAACAAGAGTAATGAAGCCTCTTGCGGGCGGTAGGCTTGCCGGCAACGCCGGGTTCAAGACTGCCGATGGGATCGGGGATCCTTGCGCCGCCGGGGGTGGGAGTGACGGTGCGGCCGGAGGCGGCTGCACACTCGGGGGAGGGGCTGGCGTTGCTCCGGGTGGTGGCGTTACTGCTGGCGGAGGCTGCTCTTGTTCTGAATCGCTGCTCGAGTCGGATTGCTGGCCTGGCGGTGCGCCTGGTTGTGGTGCGTCTGAGTCGCTGGCTGATGATGCTGCGCCGGCTTGGCCGCCGGCTTCTGAATCGCTCTCGGCTTCCTTTGCAGCGCCGCCTGCAGGCTTCTCCTCCTCTTTTTCTTCCTCCTCCTCCTCTTGTTCCTTTCTCTGGTTGGCGGGTTGATTAGGCTTGGCCCCCTCTTCGTCTTCCTCCTCCTCTTCTTCTTGCTTGCCGCCGGCTTCTTGCTCCCCGTCTGCTTCCTCGGCTTCTTCTTCCTTAGCGGGTGGTGGTGCTGGACTTTGTCTACGGGCCAGATTGTGACGAGGTCTGCCAGGGAATTTAGGCGCAGTTCTTCTCCTCCGCTGCCTGTTTATACCGGTTAGCGACCCTCACTGAAAGACTGATGAGAATGCTTGGTTGATCCCGTACCTCAGAGTAGACCAAGTCGCAGTTGCGTCCATCGGTACGAGCCTTCGCGTCTTCTGCACCTGTCCTACAAACCAGTAACGAAGTAAAATCGACCAGCGAGTGAGTGAAGGAAAAAGCAGCGCAGCTGCAAATCTAGAAGAGAACAACAAGAAAGGAAAAATGACGCAAGCGCCGCATGAGAAATAGAGTCACGAATCCCCGAGATGTTGGACAGAAGCAGAGGCAGAAACAACAAGAACCAAAGCAGACGTCACGACGGGGTGGGCGGCATTCGCTTCATGTTATCAATTCTCGCCGTGTCGATCATCTCGCTCAACCCCACGGACGAGTTCGGAGACATCCATGCAAAAATGTCTCCCACATCAAACAACTTCCAAGAAGAACGGGCAAGGGGGGTTCGAGATGTGCCTCTCTTACAAGCTGCGGATTGCTCAGGGACTCAGGGACAGTGGGCACCGGTCTTTGGTGCGACAAGCGCAGGCGAGGGAAAGCTCCGGGGGACGCTCACACGAATAGACCCCGGACTCCAGAGGCGGCTTAACATGACTCTGGCGCAGCCGCTAGAACCATCAGCCATGTTTGCCCAGTTCTAGCTCCTCCTCACCAGCCTCAGTGCACCGCACAGTTACACCCAAGGGGTCAAGGAGGCCCGGACAACGGGGAGCTCCTCAGCTGGCAATGGGACTCTGGAGCCTCTGAGAGGGCAAACCGCGAACCACACCGATTCCATGTTCGGAGGGTTTCAGACGGACCCCGGCCGCTGTCACTCTGATGAGCCCGCCGTGCCGCACCAAAACCCTCGGTCGTGTTTGACGCGTTTCTTGGCGGCTTGGCCCGGAGGCGCCCTCTTTCTGGTGTCTGAAACCACCGAAAATGCGACTGCAAGCAAGTCATGGATAGGCACGAAGAGTTGTTGGCAGAGTGAGATGCTAAAGTGTGCCAGTTTTTTACGTTGGTACACAAGAAACTCCACCCCGGCGCTTCGAGGACGGAGAGAATTAGAAACATGGTCGGGGGGCCTTGTCCGAGCCTGGAAACATTTTCCGTCCCTTCTTGATTGCAGCGCCGATTGCTGTTTTGTCTTCTCAGCTCCTCTCTATTCCTCGGTGCAACTTCGTATTCCTTCGCCGTAGGATCGATACTGCGACAAGAGTATTTCGAGGCTGGATGCAGCTCGCTGCTCTTCATCGCATAAGTCTAGCACTGAAGTGTGCATGAACCCGTCCCAGCCCAACAACGCAACTTTTGGCGAGCCCAGAGCCCATTTGCTTCAATGCATAGCGGCTCGGCCACGGAACAGTCGCGATCGACGCAAGGACAAAATCAGGCTTAACCTACCTGTAAACAAACAAGTCAACTTTTACCGACATAATCGTTGGGTTGCGGACAGACAGCACTTTGAAGAGAAAGCCTGGTCTCGTGACATGGGCCAACTCTCCGTCGAAGGGGTGTTGCGTGGTAGTATCCGGGGTAAGCTCTGGGTCAACCTCATCCACAACGGGGTCGACGATGAAACTGGGAATGCATGGGCACCTGGCAAACATTTTTGTCGGCTTCTCACCTGACAATGACGTTGCCCTCTACAAAATTCTGAACGCCAATAGCATTGGCAGGCGACGTGCTTTCTATTAATACCATTAAAAATTCCTTCATCCTTTTGGCGCTTAAACGCCGAGCGCTTGATCTGCGTTCAACTCGAGTCGAGGTTCGGTTCGACTAGCTGTTCGGCTCCAATATCCTTTCGGCTATATAACCCTCCGGTCCGTCAGAATCATGCTTCATGTGGCTTGCTCTCTAGATCCGCGAAAAATGGACTCTTGGCTGTATGAGTACGCGAGGCACCTTTCTTCTTTCCAACATCGACTGTGATCTTGATGAGTTTTGTGCCTCGATCAATTGACGATGGCCGGAGACGACGACACGCACGCTTACACAGTAGCGGCATATTGTATCGTCCATGCTCCTGAGTTTCTCACAAATTCGGGTTTCTGGGCCATTCCCATTCCTCGGGACTTGGCTCCGTGTTTAGTTGAACGAGATCGAGGAGCATTGTCGTTTCGAGGGCCAAGGTCATCACAGTGTCTCGTCCCGGTTACACATGGTCCCAGCAGATGATCAGCCAGTCGCATTTCTTCTGGGAATGTTCGCTTTTGAACCTGAGCCGTCCGAAGATAATGCACAAGCTAGCAAGATGAGAGGCTACGGATGTCGTGTTTTGTGGAAAGAAGTCCTCCCTAAGTCTATTAAGTACGTATCGGCCGTATGCAGCACTACGGAGTAGACATTTCTTGGCATGGAGTTTCCTATGGTGCTTTTCGGCCGCAATTGATTACCATTGAGGGAAAAGGTTGGATGATGGTGCTTCACTTCTTCGATAAGGTGAGTTAGTAGCTTCGAGCACAGCTGGCGGCCTGCCGCGAAGAGGCAAGTACTTGTGAGGTTCTGGGCGCATCAAACTGGAATAATCACAAGCGGTGGATCTGGATATCACCTGCCTAAGTGCCGACTTACAATGAGCAACGTAGTAGCCACACGTACTCGGCCGTCCAACGGTAGTATCGCAGATCTGCGCTACGGTTGAGAACATGAGAAAGACTTCCATAATTCGTCCCCTGACTGTGCCGAGAAACCTAAACCCAAGGGCTTCAACCCTTAAATCCTTCCTTCTTCCCTACCTAGCTCATAGTAGATCTCATGGTTGACCACCGGCCCGAGGGTAGCTCGTCTGAAATGACCCAAGCGAATGACGAGGCGTCATTTCACAATCAACTCAAGAAATGTATCCCTCAAGGTTCTCAAGGGTCCGAGGCGGCCGTTGGATCCATCTTCCATGCTTTCATTAACTCTTTTTTCCTAATATGGCGAGGCGTTTTCGGGATATGGTCCCGGTCGTGGTCTTTTCGGCCAATCAGCGTGCGGCCGATGGTGATGACGGCCCCGGTGACAAGCCAGCCAATCCCGTGTTGTATCGCCGGGGGCATCGTCAGAACCCGGATGGCCCGTCGTACGCATGTCCTACAGAAAGCAGAGCACAAGAAGATGATTCAAGGAGACGGTATGATGGAATGATGGAATGATAGCTAGCGCTAGTCGGACACCTTGATGGCAGTCGATCAGATAAGGCGGGATTTGAGTTGTCCAGATGTTGGGAAAGTTCATATAAATATCCAAATATTGTAGCTCAAGATCGATAGGATAATTCCAAGTCTTTCAATTTTCAATCTTTACCAGTTCTACAGAGTTGAAGGAGAGCCGCGGATATCTACAATGGGCAAGAAACTCTCAGCATCATCAACGAAACCCAGAACGGGTGCCGTCGTTGTGCCAGCCACTACGCAACCAAAGCTCACCGACGAGGTTCCGAAGCTTGTCCGCCAGGACTCAGGCGTCGATATTACAAAGCCGGGTCAGGGCAAACCGCTTCCAGTCACCCTTCTCTCAGGCTTCTTGGTAAGTCCTGATCAACATATGTGAGCGATCGTGACATGTGTCTAACAACTGGATTACAGGGCAGCGGAAAAACAACACTTCTACAGCACATCCTCAAGAGCGACCATGGCCTTCGCATTGCGGTCATCGTCAACGATATCGGAGCGTATGTTAATTGCTATCTACTCTATGTATTAGTACTAACTAGCTGCCCCGAACAGTGTCAACGTCGACGCATCCCTCATCAAAAAGAGCCACCGCCTTACAAAGACCGAAGAAAAAGTCATCGCCTTACAGAATGGCTGCATCTGCTGTACTCTCAGAGGAGACCTTCTAGAAGAGCTCGTCAACTTGTCCGAGCTCCACGAGTTCGACTACGTAATTATCGAGAGCAGTGGTATCAGCGAGCCCGAACAAGTCGCCGAGACCTTTGATGCCCGGCTGGCAGAGCAGATGGCTACGATGGGCGAAGGACCCGAAGGATTGGACGAAGATACCATGAAGTTGCTCAAGAGGCTGTGAGTCCCATACCCTCGCGGATTTTGTGGCCGCGATCTTACTGACGAATGCTGCTCTTCAGGGCTGATGCTGGCGGAGTTGACAAGTTCGCTCGCCTTGATACGACTGTCACTGTCATCGATGCCTTTACGATATTTAACGACTTTCACACTAGCGATCTGCTTTCTTCAAGACGGGACGACGTCGTGCCGGAAGACGAACGGACAGTATCTGACCTGATGGTTGACCAGATTGAGTTTGCAGATGTGATCGTCCTCAACAAGATTGATATGGTATTGAAGATTCTATGAGATACACTACCTTCATGGTCAGGATGTAATTGCTGACTGCGAGCAGGTTACCAAAGATGATCGCGCCCGCGTGTTGGATTTGATCAAGAAGCTCAACCCACGAGCGAAGATCCTGGAATCCAGCTACAGCAAGATCGACGTCAAAGAGATCGTCAACACCAACACATTCGACCTCAAGGTCGCTCAGTCTGGTGTTGGCTGGCTGCAAGATCTGCACGCCATGACAGTCCGCGAGGTAAGATTCCATCTGAAGCTATCCACTTATACATCGCAAGATGAGATATGCTGACACTCGATGCTACAGGTCAATGGGCGTAAGGCAGTCACACCAAAGCCAGAGACGGAGGAGTACAACGTCCGCAACTTCATCTACACAAGGACACGGCCATTCCATCCTAGACGTCTCTGGTCGCTCCTCTACGACAAGTTCATTTTGCAAATGGAGGAGCCTGAAGGCGATGAAGACGAGGATGCCATGGACGAAGATGATGACGCTGACATGAGCGGCGAGGAGGCCGATGAGAGGGAGGATGAGGAATGGGAAGATGATGACTCAGAAGCGGACGAAGCTGATGACGAGGATGCTGATATGGAAGATCCCCTCGAGCCTCCCTCTAACGAAGTCATCCTCGCCAACAAAACCGCCAACCCCCTCTTCAACCGACTCTTTCGCTCGAAAGGAGAGTTCTTCCTCGCGACGCGACCGCACAGGGCAGGAGACTGGTCTCAAGCGGGCGCGATGCTTACGATGACCGGCGGTCGCCCGTGGTTCTGCACGCTTGACCCTGGTGACTACCTCACTGGCGACAGCGAAGTGGACGCCCTTGTCACGCACGACATCAAGAAGGGCGGCGAGTGGGGTGACCGCCGCCAGGAAATGGTGTTCATCGGGGAGAAACTGGACATCAAGGGGTTGGAGGCTGCGCTGGATGCGTGTTTGCTTAATGATGAGGAATGGAGGAAGTGGCAGAAGGTGATGAGGAATAAGAAATGGGACGATGAGAAGAAGAGGGATAAGTTACAAGACTTGTTTGATGATGGGTTCCCGGACTGGACAGAGGACGGGGAGGATCATGAGGGGCATGATCATGCCTGATGGTGGATCCAAATTGGTTCGAGGAAGAGATAGACAACACAAAGTAAAAGTTATAGATTTGCTTCAGTCTGGGTTATCAAGTGAGATGGTAATTACGACTATCCACGTGCATGCTTACAAACCTACGATACTTGAAGAGTTCGACTGAGGCGACGACGGCCGGGGAAAGCAGAGTGGGAAAGTGCGCTATCGGGAAGATAGCGTACGCACAGCGGGTTGTCAAAATACGGAGCCTTCTGTCAGCTCATCTGTCAGCAATTGCTCTGTTGATTGAAAGCAATATCGATAGTATAGCCTCGAGACAGCAGATTCTTGGCTAGAAGCTGGCAACGCCTAGTGTGTAGTAAATGAAGTAGAGTTGTCAGCGAGAGTGATGAGACGAGCTAAAATCTGGGCGTCGCAGCACATGGCTTACGTGATTAATCAAATAGATTGGGCGAGTAAGGAAGCCGGCGGGTTGAAGGTTTTCGCGATAACTTGCTGCTGGAAATCGCGACATACCAGCACTCGTCCGCTTGGCAGGAGAATATACGAGAGACAGCGAGATCCTTTTGGGTCTTTCCATACAACGCAGGTCTTGGTACGGTCTCATCGGGTGCTCACGTCAACTTTCGAGTCGCCAACTTCGGCTCATGGGGGCGGGACAATCAGGCCAGCAGACCCACCGTGCTACACTGCCCGGAAGCCGATCGTCGGCGTCAATGAAGTTGAGACAACCGTCGCAAGTCAGTACCGCGCCCTCGGAGCTGATAGTGGGATCGTCAGTCCAACTTACTGCCCAGTCTCGGGCACCGCTCCGTACGGTCGCATCGCGGAAAGCACGCACGGCACGTTGGGGGCGAACCGATGCTATTGCTAGGTTAGGTGACTGAATCGAGTTGCTGCGATCATCATTACTTCATTCGTCCCGTCAACGCTGATATTGACTAGGAAGTGCAGAAGTGGCCCAATAAACCAGTGTCGGTGGATGCCGAAGAATCTGTTGCGAAATATCAGGGCGCAATCGTCCACAACGACGATCTTGTGTGTAGACGGAGCAGAATCCGAGTATTTCGGGGGCGTCGACAGATTCGATCGAATAGGGAATCCCACCGGACGGCTCAGCCATGGAGCCTGATATTAGACATAAATCGACTATGGAGACGGCTTTATTTTTCTCTGACGGGCATGGCCCCCCTTTCCGATGGAGACTGGCTTGGACAAGAGGAGAAACAGGAGAAGCATGACCGGAGGGAGCGGTTCTTCTTGGTCTGACTAAGAAATCTCGGCGGAGTTGCATGCCTGATTCAACTGGCATTTGGCTTCTGGAACGTCCGGACCAGAGCCGCTAGACTCGCTGGATTGGTTCTTAGCGAGTGCTATTATGATATCTCGGCAGGGCGGCACTTAACGATCGCACTTTATTTTCACTTTAGTTGTGAAGCGCTGGGTTCGACTAGTAAGCCGTGATAACAACATTTGTCGGGGTTGATGCTAGTCTGGCCTGGCCTCTCTCCTTGGCCATCACACCGCAGCAAGAGAGGGGAAACCACAGAACTTCAGTCAAGAACCCAGGTTGATCCAAGTCATTCACTCGGCTTTGCGTGCCGAGTTTCTGTCAACGACTGCTTTGCGACTGGGAGCTGCCGCCAAAGAATTGAAAATGCACCCAAGCGCCGTCCTCCTTTTCTTCTTCTTGGTGGGGGGCTTTTCGTCCCGTGTAAATTGATCTGCGACAGGGAATAGCCGCCAGCTGGAGTTTTTCTTCCTCGCTGCGCGCCCCTGGACCCAGGTTTCAGGTGAATCCCACCACGGCCGCGTCGATCAGGAACCAGAACTGCCAAAACAGAGTTCAGAGTGGCATAACCTTTCTCGCGGGATCGCTCTTGAGACGAAAGCTACGCATATTGACTCTGGGGAAACGCTCGTCTACGACACTCTTCTCGCGGGCTCAAATGTTTTTGTAATGGCTTTGTAAAGACTTTGAATTCCGGGTCGCGCGGAACTAGCCATACGGCATAGTTTCGAGTATTCGCCAGGTGAAGAAAGTCCAGAACTATCAAGCCGAGAGCACAGAGTACCAATAAACGGGTATTGACAGGCAAACCGGGCTTGTCGACCGAAATTGACAGCACCAAATTCGCCAACGGCCAAACCCCGACAAGCCTTTCACGCCGTTACGGGCATACAGGCGCAGAAAGCCGCCAGCGGCTAGGACGAATAAGGGCGACCACTGTGGATGTAGAACAATCTACAAGCGACCGATTCGGGGCTTCGACCAGCTCGGGCCAGGTTCACCTACAAGGGTATGTGCTGCAAGCGAGCTGTGAGTTTAGATGAACAGGAGCAGAAGGGGAATCGGCGCATGAGCCAAGCTTGGCGACTGTATTTCCACAGATTTCGACAACGTGGGCGGCTTGTGAGCAGCCCAGGGGTCAATGTCGTCAATCGTACTCTAGTTGCGACCCCAATCCAGGGGTGTTCGCCGGCGTCGACGACCGTGTTTGGTGGGAAATGGGTCCCGCGTACATGTTGCTCCAATGTTTCAAACGAAGAGCACTTCGACCAAATCGTCACTGAAGCCTACTCCTATCGTGTGATCCTGGTTGGACGAGGCAACAAGGTCGAGCTCCTTTGGCCATCCTTGCCCTTTCACCACCCCTTTTCGCGTCCATGATGCCTGGATTTTTGTCCAGATGAGGGTAGTCTGCCATGATGTGGGGAGAAATCTCATCAGCAATGTGGGTGGGATGATGGATCATGGCGGCTGACAGTCTTTGGTTCCCATCCTATTAGTGCGCTAAGGGTGGTGAGATATCTTCGATATAAGACAACCATTTCTTCTCACCATTTTCATCTTTTCTCTATTCTCTATTCGTTCTCAACCATCGCTGTGTCTTTTGTCATTGTACAAACCACTTTCTTTCTTTTCAGAAACTTCACTTTCATTCATTCCCTGGTGGAAAATCAACCTCTTCATTTTCTTCCTGTCCAATCTTTCCAACCACCCGGTCTTCACCAAACCAAACCAACCCACAACACAAAATCAAGATGCGCTCCTTCGCCTTCCTCGCTGCCGCGGCCGTCGTGCCCCAGGCTATGGCCCACTACGTCTTCCCTACTCTCATCGTCAACGGTGAGCAGACCGAGCGCTACCAGTACGTCCGCGAGGCCAAGAACTCCAACTCTCCCGTCACCGACGTCACCTCCGACGGCATCGTCTGCAACATTGGCGGCAACGACGACGATGTCCTCGCAAAGACCCAGACCAAGGCCGTCAACGCCGGTGATGAGGTCGGCTTCATCGTCGAGAACGACATGGGCCACCCTGGTCCCCTCGCCGTCTACCTCTCCAAGGCCCCCTCCGGTGTCGCCTCCTACAAGGGTGACGGCGACTGGTTCAAGGTCTACGAGCTGTCCACCTCCAACATCACCGAGGCTGGTCTCCAGTGGGCCACCTACGTCAACAACGCCGGTATTCACAACTTCACCTTCACTCTCCCCAAGGAGGTCCCCACCGGCGAGTACCTGATGCGCGCTGAGCACATTGGCCTCCACGGCGCCGGCACCAAGGGTGGTGCCCAGTTCTACATCGCTTGCGCTCAGATCTCCGTCACTGGTACCTCCACCGAGACCCCCTCGCCCGTCGTCAAGTTCCCCGGCGTCTACACCGGCGAGGAGCCCGGTCTGTTGATCAACATCTACTACCCCGCCCCCAAGAACTACACCGTCCCCGGTGGCCCCGTTGCCTTCTCCGGATGCGAGGACCACACTGCCAACCTTCTCGGCCAGACCTCCGACGGTGACTGCACTGGCTCCGATGGTGCCACCACTCCCACCACCCCCACTACTCCTACCACCCCTTCCACCTCCGCCGCTCCCTCTGCAGGCATCCCCGACTACAACGGCGGCAACAGCACCAGCCCCGCTGAGCCCTCTGCTGCTCCTACCGCTGCCGCTGGCGAGGGTGACGACTGCGAGAAGTCTGCTGCTCGCCGCCGCGTCCGCTCCATGCGCCGCAAGCTTGCCCGTGCTGCTTCTTTCTAAAGCAGTAAAGAGAGTTGAGAGAGAGAAGTTGGGAAAGTTATTGGACAAAATCCCCTGAGCTATGCTATCACCACTTGGTATTAGCAGTGCTCAACACGTTATTCTTGTATATACATATGACTTAAGACACTGGATGTAAATGCGATTAGATATCGGGCGATCCTTTGTACAAAGGCGTCCTCATGTTTGAAATATGAGAATCATTCACATGAAACCTTCACTTCCCATCCTTAGGTCCTGTGAACTGCCCACACCTGACTTTGGAAATGAATGTGCCCAAGGGGTTGGCCATAGTACAATATTTGACCTGGTCAAAAGCTCTGTCACACAACTGAGCCAGGCAACCACCTGCTGCCAATGATTCCCCTTTTGGTTTGAAGGAAAAAAAAAGAAAAAAGAATTGACTGATCTAGGTTCAGATGCTACAGCTCACCATCCTCACAGTCTTCATCTTCATGGGCGTTAGTCAAGAGGTCAGGCTTTGATCGGGTGTAACTTGAAGGAAAGCTTGGAAAAAAGTATCGGATGACTGACCGATACCAGCTTGAGCCTGCGTCTTGACGCTTGTGGAACCCCTTGAAGCCGGTGTCTCCAAGCCATGATGGGGCTATACTTGAAGACTCAATCAACATTCTCGCAATTGAGCACATGATCTTCGTTGTGTAATGCTTTGAGCAAAGTGTCTCAATCGATCATGTAACTTTCCGCACATTTTCCTCTGACAGGCGTATGAGTATCTGACCGAAAACCGGGCCTTTCGTGACTTAGTTTAGGAGGCATTTCGTGTCACTTACAACTCACTTCGTAACTCCCGAGGCCGGTCCTAGTTCGTGGCACCATAAGATGTTCCTATCACCCCTTCCAATCGCTTGTAAATACCTGGAATGCATTCAATCTTCTTGGAGCGGTTGCGGGAACTAACATGAACATGCAATTCTGCACCAGACTGCGACATGCCTCCTGTAACGCAAAATGGGCAAGTGTTCATGCGAACATGATCCAAGGCCTTGATACTTCGTGAAACCCTCATTCTGGTCACTCCAGCTGCTATATAGGTACGTACATACAATCACACATCAAGCTGTGAATGCAGCAGGTCTTCACAATTGCCATAAAGTCTGGGTATCAGCATTGATCTCCACTGGTATTGGTAGCATCGCAAACATATCATTCCAACTCATCATTCTCTCGTCAAGAGTTCATCATCGTTGCTTCGCTCTTCTATGCAAAATGGGTTCAAATATCATTGTTCCATACCAGTATATGCCTCTACGGAGCCCGGACTCGATTCGCATCGTCGTCCTCGACCCGGCTGCGGATACCCAGTCTCCTCTGCAATGCTCCTTAGCTCAATATGACAAAGCGGAGCAGATGAAGTATTTCGGCACAGAAAAGGATTTTGAGGCCGTCTCATACACCTGGGGAGACGCACCACCGTCTTGTCAATTGCTTATTGATGGTGCATTCTCTTTCGACATCAGCCCGACAGTCGATTCACTCTTGAGAGCTCTACGGCAGCCGTCCACAACCAGATCTCTTTGGATAGATGCGATTTGCCTCAACCAGCAAGATACTGGCGAGAAAGCGCAGCAACTTCCTCGCATGGGTCGGATCTACAAAGGAGCGAAAGAAGTCCACATATGGCTCGGTGACCCAGACGACAAGACAGCACCAATCTTTTCTGCCATACGCATGATGCAAACGATCCCGGACACAAAACAAGTGAAAATAATGGCCGAAGCAACATTGAAGATAACTAAGAGCCAAATTGGGGCCGATCACATCCTTCAACTCAAGCGTTTCCTTTCCAGGCCTTGGTTCTCGCGCCGTTGGATTATACAGGAGGCATGCCTAGCCAAAGAGGCCAAAGTCCACTGCGGAACATCCTCTTTAGGTTTGCCTTGGTTTGTCGCCGCTGCTCGCCAGTTGGAATGTGTCGAAGAGCTATACGGGTTCCAGTACCACTACCAGATCCTGATGATGAAGAGTCTGAGCGAAGAGCGGAAGTCGATCCTCCAGCTGCTCTGGAACTTCCACGCTGCCAAGTGTAGGGAGCCAGAAGATAGAATTGCTGCGTTGTTCGGTTTGATACCAGACCATGAGCAAATCATGGACCAGCAAAGCTATCTCGATCTTCGACAACACTGGACAGTTCTGTACCGAAGGCTCGCACTGGCGATGTTCCGGCGCGGCCAGAAGACTGCTTTGCAGATGCTCCTTCACTTGGCTGAGTTCGGGCCGCTCAATGAATCTGACGACTATTACCCGTCGTGGGTGCCGAATTGGACCAGAGAACGGCGTAGGAATCTTCCATTCTACAACATGAGCAGCAATGTCGATGCCTTTGACTATCCCGAGAAGCCTGGCTTTCCAGAGGTTGCTGTTGTCATGGACTTGGAGCGCGCCTCCACATTCGCCTTGCCACCTGTTAACCCCGTCGGAGACGAATGGGTTATGCAAGAGATCCCCGGGGCAACACCAAATTGGACAGACGACCGTACCACGCGGTTTTTGTTTAAACAGGACCGAATATTCATTCGCTGGTACGATTCCTCGGGTGGCCCCAGTGGCCCCACGGTCAATTATTTCATGTTCGCGGATGCACCCGACGAATACCCTGAGTCTTTCTCTCCGTTGCATAGTCTCGCCAAACTCTGGCACAAGTTCTTCCCACCCAGCTTCCCATATGCAGAGGGCGACTCGGACAAGATTGAGACCATTGCTATGCTATTCCATACCATTTTACGCTTTCGCAACCCCACCAAGATACCGCCTGAGGAGAGATTCATCCAAAATACCCTCAAAAATCTGGGCGAGCTACAACGACACAAACTCTCCTTGGACCAGGCCAAGCTCATAGACCAAATTTACACAATGATGGAAGAAAATGTCTTCTTCAGTCTAGAGCCGCGGGATCTCCCGGAAGACCTCAGCTCTTCATTCAGGTCTCGAGGTGAATACGGCTTTGGTCCTCGTACGCTCTTCCCTGGGGATATCCTGATTCCGGTGTGGCGTCTGAAGGAGGATCCCGCGAGGCGTTCGTGCATCATGCGACACGACGAGACGGGACGACACATGGCCACTATGTTGGTGTTGAGGATCGAGCGCGGACCTGAAGACACACAATATTCCCCTATACCTTTTTGTGCTCCGATTGACCCAGCTACTGGAGTCCCCAGGGAACCACCGCATATAAAGCGGATGAGGTATCCGAAACGGAATAAGCCTTACCCTGTTGCAGGACCCAAACAGTCAGCTCCAGAGAACGCGGCTGCAACTGATCAGCACAGGGTGGTCGGAAAGCCGGTCAGAAGAGGTCGTGTCATTGGCATGGCGGTATGTGTTACGTCTGATGGGACGAAGCGATACGCTGAGCACGACATCCGTCTCGAAGGGGAAATGCATAAAGATTTGGATGTAGATCAGCCATGCCTCATTGAGTTGTACTAGGTGCTTTTCTAGAGCGCGATTCTTCTGGCCAACCTCACCCTTACATCGTGCTACATGCAACACAACGCACTACTACATGTAATATGAGTCTACTAGGTGATTAAATATCCGCAGCGCGTGCATTCTAGAATGAGGGAGTCAGATACCCACTTTATCCAGGTCGAAATGAACTCATTGCCTGACAGATGCCATAATTATCTTTTCTTGCAGTCATGAGAAGTGATCAGTCGATAAGAAACCCATCGACAATTGTGACAATAGCTTCAAAACCACCTAACATTGCCTTACTATGAGGGGATGTAAACTTGTCTTACTGAGAAAATCGCTTTGTCTTCCGATGGCCCGATATGCAGATCTCGTAGATCTCGAAACTTGCAGACACTCTTGCATCGAGAGGCCGTCAGGTGCATTCCCTTAGCTGAACCGCTATGCAGCTGGAAGAATCTGTCGACTCGACTTGGTCTTAGCCTCTTATCTAAAGAGGCGCCAGACAACTAGCGGTTGATGATTTGAAAAACACCACCCGGAGCCGCAACGGGGCGGCAATGCGGAACCGCAACGCCGCAACGCGGAAATGTGCTTTACGGACTTAGCTTCCTTTGCCCCGGATTTCTCATGCATGATCCCGCGCCTTTCCCCGCACTCAACCCCCACCGACGCTGATGTGCAAACCAAAAGGTACCCGGAACGATGGCCCTTTGACTCTTTGGCTGCTGGCATCGTGGGATGAACGATTCAAGCATGTGTGAAGTCTTTCGAGAGAGATGTAGATCAAATCAGATCATTTCAGATGGCAGTATGCATTCCATCCAATGCCCAAACCTTTGGGTCTCTACCAAAGCTTGAAGCAACCTCGCATAGTCTCTAGATCTTGGGGGACCAACCATCCCTTACCAACCCTGCGACCTCAAGTGCGGAGAAGCTCCGTCTTAGTTGACAACAAGCTGCGTCAACGCCCCTCAGTCTGGGGTAATTCGAGCCGCCGGCGGGTCCAAACAGCCCGTATCAAGGCAGAGTTCAAGCTAATCCATCCAAGCAGAGCGCGTCCAACTTGGCAGAAATATCCTGAAGCTCTATGATTTGCCCGCTGGATCAGCCTTGAATCCCACAGTTGCCCCGTTCCCCCGCATTCGAGGAAGCCGGTTGCGCGCTATCGTCTGCAACTGAGAGACAATGTGCGGCCCTTGGCGCCTCTAAACTCCACAAAACCACTACGGATGGGAAAACTGTTGAGAGCTAAGGCGGCACAGCAGGACGCCATTACTTCGTGGACTGTGTGCGACAGAGTTTCATTTCTTTGCCCGATCTATCCCCGGAGGACCCCCTCAAAATGCGTTGTCGCGTCAAAAGCTGTCAGGTGATGTCACGACTCAGCCCTCCGGTGCGGAGGAAGGGAAGCTGTCACTGGGGATGAAGATCTCTCGTCCTGCATAAAGTCTCCTTTGCGACCCTCCTTTGAAGGCATTCCCATATCAATCCTCCCCAGAAGCATCTGCAGGCAGACCATCAAATATTACAACATCACCTTCGACCAAATACCTCGAAACAATGGCAGGAACCTTTCCGCGAAGCGAACGGATCGAGCCGGGCTCAGTCAACCTCCCACCCCGCGAGTATCCCCCATCTGTTCGCTCAACATCGGTAGATGCGGGGAAGGCCGCGACAGATGTCATCAACGCCTTCAACGCTGCCCTGAACTCCAAGGACTACAACAAGCTCGCACAACTCTTCGTCGCTGACGGCTACTGGAGGGACCACCTAGCGCTATCATGGGACCTCCGCACCCTCAAGGGTAGGGAGAAGATCCAGAGCTTCCTCAGCGAGGCGTGCCGGCTCAAGGAGGTGCAAATCGATACATCCACGGCCTACAGAGCACCTCACTTTGCGCCGCTCGATGCTCATGGCAAGGTCCAATGCCTGCAATACTTCATCAAGGTCAAGACGGATGTCGGACCTGGCGAGGGTGTCGTGCGCATGGTTGAGTCTGGCGATAAGTGGGAGATCTTTACATTCTTTACGACCCTGCGCGAAATCGCGGGTCATGAAGAGCCTACTCGGCACCGACGAGAGAAGGGTGTTGACCACGTCCAGAAGCGAGAAAGCAAGAATTGGAAGGAGAAGAGAGAAGATAGCGTCAACTACGTTGATAGCGAGCCTACGGTGGTGATTGTCGGTAAGCATTTTGACCTCCGGCGTTCAGCTTTCCATCGGATGATACTGACAGTGATGTAGGTGCCGGCCAAGCTGGTCTCACGATCGCCGCTCGGCTGAAGATGCTCAAAGTCAATGCCCTTGTTGTAGACAAGCATCAGCGCATCGGTGACTCTTGGCGCAAGCGATATCACCAACTTGTCCTCCACGACCCAGTTTGGTACGATCACCTACCGTATATCAACTTCCCAAGTCACTGGCCCGTATTCACGCCCAAGGATAAGATGGGAGACTTCTTCGAGGCGTACGCCAGCCTTCTCGAGCTCAACGTCTGGATGTCAACAACCCTCACAAAGTCGTCGTGGGATGATTCAAAGAGGCAGTGGACCGTCACTCTGGACAGGCAAAAGCCCGACGGATCCAAGGAAACTCGGACTTTGCACCCTCGCCACGTCATCCAGGCGACGGGCCACTCTGGCAAGATGTTCTTCCCTAGTATCAAGGGCATGGACAAATTCAAGGGAGATCGCCTCTGTCACAGCTCTGAGTTCCCGGGCGCCAGGCCTAACTCAAAGGGCAAGAAGGCTATCGTCGTTGGTTCGTGCAACTCGGGTCACGACATTGCACAGGATTTCTATGAACAAGGATACGATGTCACCATGGTACAGCGTAGCTCAACCTCCGTCGTCTCCTCAAGTTCAATCACGGACATTGGTCTGAAAGGCCTCTACGACGAGGACTCACCCCCAGTCGACGACGCCGACCTGTGGCTGTGGAGCTTGCCCGCTGAGCTCTTCAAATCGCTCCAAGTCGGCACCACGGAAGTACAAAATGCCAACGACGCCGAGCTCCTCTCAGGCCTCCAAAAAGCCGGCTTCAACCTAGACATGGGACCAAGCGGAGGCGGCTTCTTCGTCAAGTACTTCCAGCGCGGTGGCGGCTACTACATCGACGTCGGATGCAGCCAGCTCATCATCGACGGCGAGATCAAGATCAAGAGCGGTCAGGAGATCACAGAGGTTCTCCCCAATGGTCTCAAGTTCGCGGATGGTTCGGAGCTTCAGGGCGACGAGATCATCTTCGCGACGGGATACCAGAACATGCGCACCGAGGCGCGCAACATCTTTGGCGACGAGCTCGCCGATCGTGTCGGCGACGTGTGGGGGTGGGACGAGGAGGGCGAGTTCAGGACCATGTGGCGGCCGACGGGGCACCCTGGCTTCTGGTTCATGGGCGGCAATCTCGCAATTTGTCGTTACTACTCTAAGATTTTGGCATTGCAGATCAAGGCGGTGGAGGAGGGTATCGATCAGAACAAGAGCCACACTAAGACTTTAGGAACGACGGGAGGTGTTCCCAAGCTGTGAATAACTTGTACTGCTTGCTGCGTTTAGTTCAGGCGTAATGAAATTCCTTTCTGAAGCTCTCTCACTTGAACCCGTTATTACGGCCATTCTCCTGCCTGCTGTTTTCACCGTGACTATCGGGCCTTTATCGCCGTCAACAACCGCGCAGCGCCGGTAACGGGCGGATCAGAGTGGGGCCGGCCTGGGTCAGGTATTCCGGAGAAAGTGTGACCGTGGAATCGAAACTCGGGATATTCTGTGACCGAACCATGGGCTGAAAACTTGTCTTGTCTGTTACTTTACTTATCTATACATCTTTGAGCTTAGCTACGGGCGACTTTACTGCCCACTTGGTCTGTGTTGCGGGCTTCAATGAATCCATCAATCTTAACGGCTCAAATCGGATCCAGGGTCGAAAACTCAACCCTTAGAGCCATTAGACCCCAGATCTTTCAGTTCATCAGCGGCGGTTCTCCCGGATCATCGATGCTCTTCAGGCTCAATTGCATGAGTTCTCATCAAAGTCAAGCACTCCCAAGCTTTAACTGAATGCTCACATGGCCCGTGAGGCCCTCCTGAGAATTGCGATTGCAATCAGCAAAACATCGGCAGAGTGGTGATCTGCGATTTGCAGCATGGTTTCGGGCGGTATTTGTGGATATCTTCGCCCATCCCTGGTCAATATTTATCCCCAGCTACAACCTTGGCCCCCAAAAAGCCCTCGATTGTGGAGTAACGTCTCTTTTGTTTCTTTGGCCTGACCGCTAGGTCTCACGACTAACGAGAAGAGATCGTCACTCTAATGGAACTGCTGAAAGTTGCCGCATTCCCTATTGGGACTGAATGAAGAGTTTTGAAGACCAGTTAGTCGTTCTGAACGCATTGCCGTCCCCTTCAGGACAGAGCTAGGCCAATGCTGCTGGCTCATCTGTTGATCTATCCTCATCTGTTGCAACCCATCATGCTCACACAGTCGTAGGCGTACTTGTCGAGTGCATACATGGGCTTGGAAAATCGGCAACTGCCCCTGTCAATCTTTATTCACTACCCTGCACCTGACAATCTCGACGGTATTCAAATTATACTTCTGGTGTTTTTCGAATGACGAAATCTGACCTTGTTCTCTGTCTTGATAGGGCTTATCAATGATTTTGGCACAATGATCTCCCCCGCCTCCGTAGCAGCCGTCCTTTCCGACGTGGAGAAAAGATGCCTGTCGTCTGTTCTCAAACTGCAGTTGATCGGCACTTGAATTGCGATCTCGAAGGGTTATTGCTCACTATTGAACTCTGCCAAGATCACAAACTCACACATGATGGCTGATACTGCAGTGCGAAAATGTCTCAACTCTCAAAGAGCTCCCGATGTTCCTGCATTTGCTGATCAATCTTTCCCAAATACCACGTGGACTTCGCGTGTCTGCGCCATCGCCGAGCTACGGATACAGAGCTGCCCAGGACGTGCGCGTGAGGCAGGCCTCCAAAAGCGACCGTTGACGCTAGCAACGAGACCAACTCACAGACATTTGATCCAAGGCGCAACTCAAAGCGTGCCGTTGGGTGGGCGCCCGCCAAGGTTGCACGCACGAAATGAGCCCAGCGAAAGAAGAAGTCGGTTTGAGATCGATGATACACACTGTTGCTAGTGCCGACGTTGAAGGTTGCACGGTCGGCCGCGATCTGTGACAGCTCCCGGTGCCGACTCAACGGCGTCGATACTTAGTATTCTGCTCAGTCGGCGGCTACACACAAACGAGGCCAAGTCCGCCTTCTCAAGCCACCGGATCTTGCGGGAGTCTTCATCCGAACATGCAAAGGCCACCCGAACTGGCGACAGTCCGCTCTTCACTCCAAGGTTGCGTCGAATAAAGTTCCGAGACTCGGCTAAGCGCAGGATTCGCGACAAGCAGTCTGGTCGCCGATTGGTACATTTCACATACCGCGCTACGCAATCCATCACTGCTGGATTCAGGGGCAAGTTCGGGCCCTATGTTCTGCAGCAATCCTTCAGACAGGCATCTAGCGATCTGTAACCCAGTCGAGACTGCAGCCGCAATTGGACAGCGAGTGCGTCCGGAGCACCTCCCCCTCCTCGTGAAGTTGCGGCCATGTCGGCCTGCCACCTTGCGTGTCGAGTCTGTTGGAAATCGGGATAGAGGTTGTATAGATGGAGGGTTGGCCCTTGCATCGCGACGCTTGGCGGAATCTCATTCCCTTCCCCGGATTGGTTTCTCACGGCTTCATCCTGGCCGACCCCTGTCAGAGTTGCCTCAAGGGCACCAATACTACCCCACGGAAGATCTTGGGCCATCGACTAAGTGACTAGTGCGCGCTCTCTTCCCACTCAGCCTCTATTGCGACGTTCAACCGAGTGGGAGTATCCATGTCTGCAGAGATGACCCAACAAGTCGAAAATTGCACCACTGCAGGTAGAAACACGGCTTGTGGCTGCTGGGGTTTCGATCTGAGGTGGGCAAATTTCCCAGGCGAGGTGAGAGAATACAATAAGGATGACTGAAGGCCTCCGCTCTTCGATCATAGAGGGGGACTTGTTTCTTCTTCTTGGTTCTTCACAAATCAACTCAAATTACGCCACTTACGCAAATCATCTGGAGGTCTGTTAAACATGGCGGCGAACGTCCTGGTTAGGAACCTCAATGCGATACAAGAGACTCAACAACAGGCCTCCGTCAGCACCGTCGACCATGCCCTCGATGGCCAATCCCGATTTGGAGAGATAGTTGCTATTCTGGCTGTTGGATCCGTTCTGTCGACTGCGGCGGTCAGTCTCCGGGTCTACACCAGGGTTAGGATGCTGCGAACTTTTGGGCTGGACGACTCGGTGATGGTGGTTGCCCAGGTGAGCATTAACAACATCTTCCTGAGGCTAAGACTTGCTGGCTCATATCATTACTTTCTCAGATGTTCCTTATCGGATCAGCTGTTGCCATTGGGCTTGGTAAGTCCATCTGATACCTCACAATCTAGAGTCTCTTACTAACGACAATGAAGAAAGCAAATGGGGTCTTGGCTTTCATTCATGGGTTCCTCCACCCGAGGACTACGTTCCATACATGAAGGTAAATCCTATCGCGATCAACTCGCCCCCGAGTCTATACTCACAACAACATCAGTCCTTCTACACCTCGATCATCGTGTACAACATCGCGACCTGCCTGGTCAAGATCTCCATCCTATTGCAATACCGCCGCATCTTCGCCATCGACATTATGCAGAAGTTGACGTTGTGGGGTCTTGCCTTTATGATCTCGTGGACTGCCATGCTCTCCTTCCTTCTACCAATGATGTGTCTTCCCGTAGCCGCTTTCTGGGATCCGACCATCGAAGGCCGCTGCATAGACTTCCTTGCCATCTGGTACACCATGGCCGGAGTCAACCTCGTAGCCGACTTTGCCATTTTCAGCATGCCGATTCCGGTCATCAACTCACTGCAACTTCCTCGCAAGCAGAAGCGAATGTTGCTCGTTGTCTTCTGTCTCGGATTCTTGTAAGTCTTCATCCATACTCCCCTGATATTTATTGTTCTAAGTCGTCTTTCAACAGCACATGCATCATCTCTGCACTCAGAATCCGAACCCTCCGCGTTGCTGCAGATACAAAAGACCCGTACTGGGATAACGTGGACGCCGCCACATGGTCCTTCCTCGAGGTCGCCATCGGCATCCTGGCGGCATGTCTTCCTACCCTTCGACCGATATTCGTTACTCTGCTGCCACGCCTCTTCAACGCGTCTTCACTGCAGTTCAGGAGTAGTGGCAGGCCATCGAAATACGGTAATCCGTATGCTCAACCAAGCGAAGGAAACAACAGGGCCAGTTTTATGCACGGGCTGGGATTCCACCGCCCTATGAGCAGCACAGAGGGGTTGAATCGCCAAGACGGAGTTGAAATGTCTGGTCGAGAGAGCGAGACGTCGGCTGAGTACACCGTCAGCGTTAGCACAGGAGCACCCGAAAGCCTCGACAAAATGTCTCGGGTGAAGAGCAAGAGAGACAGTGTGATGGATGGTCAGCATATCAGGGGCCATATTCGGACTACGACTGTGGTGACTCAGGAGGTCACGTTCGAGAAGCCCTCTAGTTCCAAGTCTAACCCAGACCAGGATTAAGAGGATGAGTTATTTCTTTTGTTCAGGTTTGTCTTAGTTGTATTGATGTGAGGATGATGTTTCCTTTCCTTGTGTCTTATTTTGGTTCATGTTATACCCCATTTTTACCTCTACTTATTGTCATTCGCTTCTTTCGTTAGTTAGAGGTCTTGTCCAGATATTTACCTCCTGCGCGGGTTCAAGCGTAGTTTTACAAATCTAATTCTGTTTGTCTGCTTAAGATGGCCCCGAAATCTCCAACGCATGGTACTGCTAAACCTAGTCGGAGTATTCTTCCAGCACACTTCGTGGCTCTACATACTTCCCTAGCGGCTTGTAGTCAATGTCGTACCCAAACGCCTTCGGTCCACCAATCTCTAGACCAGCTTGAGTCTCGGTCCATCGCGGCGAGCAAGTAATACCAATCACGGTGACTCTGTACCCATACTTGAACTCAGGCACTCCGAGAGCCCGGCCCGACTCGTTGTCCAAGATTGAGATCAGATCCGGCACAGCAGCCACTATGCTAGTCTTGCCGCCCTCATCAGTATGCTCGGCCAGGATGTTCTCGTTCTTGAAAGGGATCTTCATCGTGCCCCCTTGTGCGACGGCAGCAACCCTCTCCTTGTTGTTCGCAGCTTCGTCTTCATCGCCGCTTTCAAAGGCGGCGACATGCACCTCACCGTAAGAATGGCCCTTGAAAAGCCGCCTCTCAACCTTCATAATCTTGCCCCTAAACAAGACCTTGGCAGCCTCAAGACCACCGGCTTCTTTAATGATGGACTCGGCGACCGTGCTCATGGTGTTGGTTGCTTGGCAGAGAGCAATGCAGCGCCCAATACGCCATGCAAGAGATACAGTATTCAGAACGCCAAATTTCTTGACCTTATCGGTGGTAGTAGGCTTGGCTGCCA